GCAAGCCATTTTACAAAAGCAAGCTGACCACCAGTTAACCCCAGAAGGGGCTGGCTTGTGTCACCTAAAGTCAGTACAATTAGTGACATTCTTTGCATGCTACTCACAATCATTAGACCCTTTAAGAGTGAGCTAGTTCCAAGATTTTCCAATAGAATTAAACATAGGTTTATGCAAGGTTTAGTCTAGAGACTTCTTTAATTCTTTAGTCTATATCTGTTTCCTTGAATGTTTAGATTTTAGGAAAAAACAGTTTTACTAGAACTTGACTATTTTATATAACTAATGCTTATCAGCTGCTTGAAATGGCAGAAAGGTTTAAGGGCATTCTGATACTGACACCATTAAGAAGATACACAAATCTTGAACAAAAGGTTTTTAAAGGAGCACTGAAATTGATTTCTAAGCTGTGTTCACCTCAGTGAGGCTCCTGAAGACACAGGTAATGAATGTACTGAGCAGGTGTGGAACATCACCAACATCCAGTTATGCCATCAAGAGGCTGGCTGAGACAGTCACGCGCCTGCTGATTGCATAAAAGTCCCATTGGTCTTTACTTATTGTAAATAATGTTTACCTTTTTATATTTTAGGACAGCATAATTATTTATGTGCTGGAAGAAATGACTGCATCGTCGATAAAATCCGCAGAAAAAACTGCCCAGCCTGTCGCCTTAGAAAGTGCTGTCAGGCCGGCATGGTCCTTGGAGGTAATGCTGATGTTTTCATCAATAACATATTGATATTTACTCTACAAAACTGTGGGTCAGAAAATCCGGATTTGCTCATTCATCTTTGTTCTTGCTTTGCTTTTTCTGTCTTGATTATTGGTGTCTAAATGAAGCAACCAATCCTATCCCATTAATTTTACAGATTCCCAGCATGTTAAGGTCTGTTTTGAGAAGTAATAAACCTCCATTTGTCTGTATTACCTATAAGTATATGTTATGGTATAACCTTTCATTAAGTGACATGAGTTGGAGTCTTGGCTCTGTACTCATTGCCTATGTGGCCTTGAGTAAGTTGCCAACCAATTCTGGGCATCAGTCTCCTTATCTGTAAAATGAGAGCACTAAAGTCCCTTCCATACCAAAACCAGATTCTGTAAATTGGTCCAACACATTAATCTCCAACTCTCTAACTCGCCGTCAGTCCCTCCCCCATTCTTTTTATATAACTGTATGTTGAGCCCTTACACTTACCAGGTACTATTTTAAGTTCTGGAGTTTAGCACCAAACAAAATGGACCAAATCCCTGCCCTTGTGGAGCCTAAATTCTGGGGCAGAGGGGCAGCAATAAATATATAAGTCAAAGGATAATAAATACTGTGGAAAATGGTAAGCGGGATGAGTTAATAGAGACTATCAGGTAGGGGAGTCACTCCTGAAAACTTTATTTTTTTATTAATATAGTATTCATTTCACTTATCTATTTCCTAAGCAATAATATTTCCAAAATCCTGAGTTTGATGTGGTAGTTAAATTTTTTTCTTAAACATTTGCAAAATTTATAGCCATTTAAATATGTATTCAATATACTACCTAAAAACAGCGAAGTACTATAAATGGCATAGGCAGGTACCAAGGCCTCTGCATTCTTCATTGGGTTAACCTATAGCATGGCACATTCACTGCCAGCTTAAGCATGTAAAAAATGAGAAAATACATGCCATTCACTGGGCAAATAGATCTACAAAGCTGAAAATCAAAAGTTTCTCTCAAGTTGTTCAGAAGATCAAACATAGGTTGGTCTAAAGTTCCAGGGGCAAGATTAGAGGTTCTGGCTGCTGAGAAGGCAACTCTCATCTGCTGAGGCAGTGGATAGACATGTACTTGCAGCATGGTGGCTGCTGGATTTGTCACTGGCACATCCTCAGGGATCATGCCACAAGAGTCTTCTTGTCCAGAGTCACCATTGTTGAAGGCTTTGTTTCTTCTGGGTTGCTCACCTGAGATGAATCACTCCACTCTGCTATTGAATTTGCCCTAGGACCACCAGATGTCCCTCCTCTTTGGTAACACTGCTGGAAATTATCCCTTTGGGAATAAGGTGTTCCAGGATACTCTCTAGCTTGGAATTGCAGTTGGCTATAATTTCCATTGGAAACTGAAGTAGGTCCTCTATAAGTATCAAAACTGATACATATTGGTTAGTAATCTCCCACCACAAGTACATACTCTAGCAGGTCCTCTGTTGTTGACAGATGTTTGAGAGGGTCTGGGAAATACATTCATCTGTGCTGGGTAAAAAGCAAGGCTACCATTGCTTGCTTGAATAGTTCCATCAGGATAACTTGCAGTCTCTTGAGAAAAAACAGTTTGTTCTATTTGTATAGCTGGCAGTTGGCACTGGAGTAGTGTTTGTGTATTTGCTGTAGTAAAACTTTGATTGTAGCCAGGTGAGTAGGGTGATTCTTTTATTTCTTGTTCTTTCCATGGAGGGAGGGGTGCATTAACATTAAATACTGTCTGCATGGCTTGAAAGGGTGCTGTGTTAATAGTTACTGAACTACTTGCTGGAGGTGACTGGAAGCCCTGTTCAGGGCCCTTTGACATGGGAGGACTTGGAGAACCAGTGAAGATGGTTGCTCACTTGGGGGAACCACTGCCTCAGGGTTCTCTGAGGTCATAAGCTCTGTTTCAGATCCCAAAGAAGCCTGATCTGTAGTAACCAAGCAAGCATTTGAGCTACAAGTAACAGGAGAAGCAGCCGCCCGTAGTAGCTCTTGAAGAAAATCACTTTGACTGGATAGATTTTGTTCTGTAGATGCTACCGGCTACCCAGAGTAGTTGAAGGTGGCTGACGATGGAATTGCACTTGAAGGTTTGTCAAAGTCCAGAGTAGATTCTGGCATAAAGTTACAAGTTACTTGACTCTGGGTCATCACATCCTGCAGTTTTTTTTTTTCCTTGATATTGGATCCTTTGGAAGGGTAGAGGAGGAACCTGCAGGCTGATGCATAGTTTTAGGCACAACTTTGGGTTCTGCATTAAACTTCCTGGGCAGGAGCTGGTCATTTGGTATGAGGCTTCCTGCAGCTACCCGGCCCGCCCCCCCTTGGACTTTGGAGAAATCTGTGATTGTGGTATTAAAGGATGTTTTTGATTTTCAACATTGTTTTCCCAGGATTTGGGAGTCTCTGGCTGTCCTGAACCCTGTTCTTCACACCTGAGAGTGGTCCATGCCTTGCTGAGGTCCTGTTCACTCTGCAGAGAGGGTGTCCAAGACTTTGCAGTTTGCTTCGTGGAATCCTGTTTTTTCTGCAGCTGAACTGACCCAGGCTCTGGTGTCTCCAGCCTCTTCTGTTCCCCTTGAATGTATCCTGCTTTGGATTTAGGTGTTTCTTGCTTCCACTAGGTAGGAGTTAGCTTGGTTTGGAGACGCCCTGCTGCTGCTCTTCCTGCAGAGGAGACCTGAGTTTTGCAATCTCTTGTTTCCTCTGTTCTAAGGAAACTGCAGGCTTTGCTAGCTCCTGGTGCTTAACAGAAGATTCCCAGAACTTGAAGGATTCCTGTTTCTTCTCACCGTCTGCTTTAGTAAGCATATCCCAGTGCTTGGAGATATTTGGTTTTCTAGCATAATCTGCTTCCCAAGATTGCTCTTTATCCTGTTGGCTTGAATAATCTACTTCTCTTATGCAGTGTCTGTTAAGGAACTCTTGTGGTTGTATCTCTGTGCAAGTTCCATAGGAGACTCTGATTCTGACAGATTCAGTCTTCAATAATTGTTTTTTTTCCTCTGACTTTATTAGCATTTCTTTCTCCAGTGATACTTCTTTTCCCCGAGCATTTTTGGAACTAGGATACTTTCAATATAGCCTCACCCGGCCGGCGTGGCTCAGCTGTTGAGCATCGACCTATGATCCAGGAGATCACAGTTAGATTCCCAGTCAGGGCTCATGCTGGGGTTGCAGGCTCCATCCCCAGTGGGCGTGGGAGGTACAGGAGGGAGCCAGTCAATGACTCATTATTGACTTTTCTCTCTCTCTCTCCTCCTCTCCCTTCCTCTCTCTGAAATCAATAAAAATAAAAATTATTTTTAAAAATGAAAGAAAAGTAAAAATAGCCCGAGTTCAGCAATTTAGACAGTGGATCTTTCGTGTGTTTGTGTGTCATTCATTCCTACCACTGCTTTCTCACTACCTTCCAAAAGGCCCCAAAAGTACAAGGATGACTGCTCCACCTGGTCTGCAACACTCAGACTCCTTTCGGGACAGGTCAGTTTTGAAAATTTAGTGAGGTATTTAAGTTCTTTTAAAGGCGGATGGGCTGCACCACTTCAGCCCTCTTTCAAGTCTTTCTGAGCACGTTCCTGTGCCAAGTTCCCTAATACATAACTGAACTTGAAGTATGGTGTGAAGTTCTCTTCTCAGCCTCAAGTTGCAGCATGTGCTCCCTTCTCCACCCCATCTTCTGAGCTTTAAGTAGACTTTGGCTAAGTCCTGAAAGGTTTTCTGAAGCTCCTCAGAAAGTTCTAGGTTATGTACCACTTCTTCACATTTCTCTACTGCTTCCAATTGGTCTGGATTAAGTTGCTCTCCACTTTTCAGGCGATCCTTATAATCTTCCAGTTTGAGCTTCTTTGTCTCCGTGTTTCTAATTTTGTGTTGGAATCATGTGAGTCCATGATCAACATAGGTCACATATACTTGAGAAGGGGAGGCAGAGGAACTGAGAGGAGACTGCGAAGGGCTGCTGGCCCGCTGGTTTTCCCCATGCTGATGTGGTCCACTTGGGAATTGGCTCACTTCATATCCTCTCTCTTCACTCCTCTCAATGGCCTGAAGGTGACTGGTAACCAGAAGGAGAAAGGAGAGCTGCACCAGTGAAATAGTTGAGACCCCACAGGCCACCAAGGCTGCTGTGGCTTCGAAAACCAGTGGAAGCCAGGAGAGCTGCGGAGGTGGACAGGCACCACCAGGCCCTTGTGTCTCCTGTGGCTCCCTCCTCTCTGCTCCCGGTCTGGCTGGTGGCGCATGTGGAGCAGGGAGATCTGCACACTCGGCTCTCTCGCCTTCCGTGCATTCTTGAACGTAAAGTCCATCTGCAGTCACTTCCAGGACACAGAAAGAGTGTTTGGAGAAGGAAGAGGGCATGTGGTGTAAAGTAGTGTTTTGCGTTTTGAGGACGGGTAGTGACCGTTGAGGCAGTCTTCCATTCCATGGCTGCATGCATTTTAATTGTCTTACTATTATAATGGAAAAGTGATTAAAATGAGCAAAGTAAAATGATGAAACCCCGGGTCACTGAGAAATTGGGTTTCATTTAGAGGAGAGACTTGGGTTCCGGCCAGCAGCAAGACAGACGGTAAGAAATACAGTAGCAAGAAGAAGAGAGCTAGAACTTGGCCGAAAGGGAAGGATGTCATCAGGGGTATGGACTGAAGTTACACCAGAGCAGGGTCGCCAGCAGCACCACGTTAGTGCAAAGCTGTTTTAATTGGCTTCAGCTTTCTTATCTGGTTCCATTGTAGGGCAGAGTTTAATTCAGAACTAAACAGCCCCAGCCTCAGAGATTAGAATGGGAAATAGGCAGAAATATGAGCAGGTAGTTATCACTGCCCAGTCATACTGTCCTTAATTTTGTTGTTTTCGCACCAGTTTCCTAAGGCTCCATGGTGCCATCCTGAAGCCCAGTTCTCCTAAAGTCTCATGGATTTTTGACCCTTGCATAATTTACTTCAGTCAGTGAACCACCTTTTATGCCTGGT